TGAAAAACAAAGCCTAAAGATTTGCGAGTGACGCTAGCGTATTATTTTTGCCCGATTATTTTACTCGTCCCGGCCCACTTGAGATTCAGATGCGGCCTGCGATGAGCCGCCATGCCAACCAAAAATGAGTTTACACCCCTGCGTCTACTGGCAGGGGCGCGCAGCAACCCACCGCTTTACGTTATGCTTTTTGCCCGAAGGGTAGACTGGCGTATCCGGCCTCACGCTCTGCTAGCAATGTACACGCTCTGCGACAAACAGTGCGACCGCGAACCAGTCTAGCCAGAGGGCACGACGGCAATTGCAGAAAAGGCAAAGCAGCGTTACTGCCGTCGGCTCGGGTATGCGATTTTCAGAGGCAGTACGCCCCGACGCATGATAGGCGGCACCGACGCAATTCCCCGTCGCCCGTATAATTCGAGCCTGAGCTCACATACACACATCTGCAACCTAAAGTACATACGCCACATCTCAATCTAACAGCGCACATACGCACATCTCAATCTACAGCTGACATACGCCCCCACAATCTCAACCTACAGCTCACCCATACGCCCACATCTCAACCTACAGTAAAGGTGGCGTTGTATCGATGTGCGCCTGTGTGCAGCCCCACCTGTTTACGTTCGCGTTTCTTTGCCTACTCCTCCTCTCCTCGCAGGTAAGATCGCGACTGCTCTGGAAGCCCAGGCAGGCATCCAACCATTGCTCAGCACCATGCCAGCCCTTGCCGGAGGATGCCCAACAGCCGAGGGCCCGCCTACTGGTGAGTGAGCGCGCCACTTGAGCTGCTTCCATCTCGCACACGAATCCTGTGCTTCAGCAGCAGCCAGAGCTCGTAACTCTCTTGCTAACAGCTAGTTGCACTGCAGCGATGGCTCAATGGTAGAGTGCTCGCCTCGCATGCGGAAGGTCGTGGGTTCAACTCCCGGTCGGGTCATACCAAAGAGATAGTGTGTACACATTTTCATTTCACAGTCCAACAGTACCTTCATTTAATAACATTGTAATATACAGCAGTAATTTTCAGCTGAAAACACAAATTGTCATTCCCATCCCTGAGAAGAGAGCCTTGTATGCGGCGGCACCCGCCAGTGAGAACTGAGAATCTCTTCACTAGCCCAGCAGCCCAGTAGGGCACCCAAAAATTGTATTATACTGCTGCTTCCATCTCACACGATTCCTCTGCTTCAGCAGCAGAAGAACTCTTAACTCACTTGCTAACAGCTAGTTTTGAGTCGGTGGGTCGGCACCTACGCTGGCAACAACCGATACTTTTGCTTCGTTATTCGTAGCTGGACCGTGTGGTGTCGCACAGGTTGAATTCTCATAAGATTTCACCTGAAATTGAAATCAGTCACCCTTCCCGGTGAAGTAGTAGAATGTGAATAGGATGGAAAATGGACTTTTTAGGCGACGAATTTCGCAATTTTAGCCACTTGCGAGTGGCTAAAAAACCTACGTTGCCTAACAGTAAAATTCTAATGTGCAATTTTTTGCAATTTTAAACGCTGCATTATGAAAGTGGTTTAAACAGCCGTACCGCCTAAAACAACGGCCGAATTGAACTGTGTTTAGCAATTGACCGCACCAGTTTGACCATTAATCATCGAGATATATCTCTTTCCGCTGCTCATCGACACGTGCATAATGTATGCGTGTAATGCTAATACATTTCTTACGTCGCAGAACGAATAGCAATGTGCTTAATATTTTCTGCTCACAATTTCTCAATATTGACAACAATTTATGGAGTTAGCAATAGGCGAAATTCGGCAGCCCTCTCTTTGTACCGCTGTTCTTCTGTTGTCGGTATGGGAGGCAGTAGCAGTCAGCAGATAATGGCGTTATTCCGTAGCCTTGTTCACTGCACTGCTGCAGTACCCCAACAACATTCCCTGTTAGCCAACACTGCAGTAGAAAACTAGCTAGCGCCGCGCTTGCATAGTAAACTAACTGTCGCAGTAGCAGTTGTAACCAGTCGACCACAAGATACAGGTGCCAATAGTAATCTACTGTACAGACCCAGTAACAGTTGTAACCAGACTTGCCATAGTAACATAACTGTAGCAGTAAGACATTGAACAGTATAGCCATAGTAACTACTGTAGTTAGAGGTGTAAGTCCACATAAACAGTTGCCATAGTAACTACTGCTCGTGAGTAACAGTCCGTAACCAGTCGCCACAGTAACGCGTTAGCCCCATTAGCTAACTACTGTCGCCAGCTAACAGTTGCTAACGCCGTTGCCATAGCTAACTACTGCTAGCCAGGTAGCAGTTGTAACAGCTTGCCCATAGTAACTACTTCACAGCTAGCAGTTGTAACAGTCCACCACAGTAACAGTTAGCCATAGCTAACCACTACTGTCGTAGTAACAGTCGTAACATGCTCGCCACAGTAACGCCTTCCATAGTAACTACTGTCGTCAGCTAACAGTCGTAAACAGCCTCGCCACAGTAACGCGTTCTGCCATAGTAACTACATGTACGCAGTAAGCCAGTTGTAACCAGTCACCACAGTAAACAGTTCGCCATAAGCTAACTACTGCTCGTAGGTAACAGTCGTAACAGTCGCCACAGTAACGCTATGCCATAGCTACACTACTTATCGCAGTAGCCAGTTAGCTAACATCACCCACAGTAACAGTTGCCATAGTACACTTACTGTCAGTTAGTAACAGTTGTTCAACGTCACCACAGTAAACAGTTGCCATAGGTAAACTACTGTCGTAGCTAACAGTTGTAACAGCGTCACCACAGTAACAGCTTGCCATAGTAAACTACATGTCGTAGCTAACAGTCACCACACTCACAGTTACGCATCAGCTAACCACTGCGCAGTTGTACTAATAGTCACTACTGGCGCTAGCAGGGTTGCTAACAGTTACCACAGCTTAATGCAGGCGTTATCTATAAATAAGCAGGCACCAGCTGGCGCACCGCCCTCTTGTCAAATTTACATCGCCCATTGCCTGAAAATGTCAAACTGCCAGTCTAAGACATTCAAATTTTTAACTTTTGTTCTGGGCGCGCAGACAGACCTCCCCCAGAAACTCCTCTCTCCCCCGCCACCGCCTGCCCAGCGTCCGCCCATGCGTGCCTACGCATGCTTTTAATCCATCATACAGAGTTTTTTCCCAACTGGAATTACCTCCTTTTGCTCAATTTCCCCTCAAGAAACCCTGTAACGGCTTGCATAGACGGTCGGCGTAGACATGCTTGTCATGTAACAGCGTCAGGCTGTTTGCCTGCAGTCCGCTTCGGCCTGCAGCAGCCAGCTGTAGTCGTGCCAGCGAGCCGAGGAGAAGGCGACGCGCCTCGCGTCCATCCAGCGTTCTCCGCCGGTGAAGACGAGCGAAAGCCAGCCGTCGCCTGCTTCTTCTGCAATCCGCAAAAGACCGCATCGCTCGAGCTACGTGTGCAGGTAAGCGGCGCCACCTACCACGGTAAAAAATACACGGGAGCGATGAGGATGAGGATTCAAACCTCGAAATCACTGCCGTGGGGCTCAAAATAGCTGGAAAATTTCCACACAAAAAAAAGCTATTTTTCCCACAGACTTTTTTAAGCTTTAATTGTTCCTGCCGGCTACGTGTAAGGAGAACTGTCCTAGCAGCGCCCCTACATGTAGAAGCAGAATCTACCTCAGCAGCCCGGCCTCCTACGTGTAGATAGAATGTCCCAGCAGCGCCCCCTATGTGTAGCCAGAAATGACCTAGCCAGCCGCCCCCTACGTGTAGAGAGAATGATCTAGCCAGCGCCCCCCTACCTGCTAGAGAGGAAATGTCTAGCAGCGCCCCCGACGTTGTAGAGAGAATGTCTAGCAGCCGCGCCCCTTACGTGTAGAGAGAACTGTCCTAGCAGCCCGCCCCCTTACGTGCTAGAGAAATGTCCCTAGCCAATGCCCCCCTACCGTGTAGAGATAATGTTCCCAGCAGCACCCGCCTACGCGTCTACGTGTAGAGAGAATGTCCTATCAGCGCCCCCTACGTGTAGAGAGAATGTCCTAGCAGCGCCCCCTACGTGTAGAGAGAATGTCCTAGCAGCGCCCCCTACGTGTAGAGAGAATGTCCTAGCAGCGCCCCCTACGTGTAGAGAGAATGTCCTAGCAGCGCCCCCTACGTGTAGAGAGAATGTCCTAGCAGTGCCCCTTGTGTGTGGAGAGAAAGTCGCAGCAGCGCTTCCTGTGTGTGGAAAGAAAGTTGCAGTAGCGCCCCCTGCAGGTGGAAATACTGCCACACTAGCGCCCCCTGCAGGTGGAAATACTGCCACACTAGCGCCCTGTTCTGGGAGCGAAGCACCTACAGTATACATGCTAATAAAGTTTGTCTCAGTTAGATCCAAATTAAGTTAAAAATATCTTCCACTGACGAAATTTTCGTCCATCTCTTCGATAGACTTCCTCAGGTCTGATGTTTCCAGGTAGATGGCAGCACTTTATTAGCATGTGAATTATAGAGATCCGATGAAATTATTCAAGCACCTACAGTATAGTCCTCTACAGGGAGTCGGATGGTTTCGGTAGTCCCGTCAACTCGTAAGATCTGGCGCCCTCTGCTGGGAGAGCTGTGTGCACGCGCGAGCCGAATGCTCGCGGGGGACAATCATCGGGAAAAGTAGCGGCCGCGTTGCCCCCTGGCGGCCGCGTTCCTAATCGCCGACGTCGGTCGTTGCAGGTGCGGCAACAACTTCTGTAGCAGCCACCGGTACGCGGAGACGCACGCGTGCACCCACGACTACAAGTCAGAGGGTCGTCGCCTGCTGCAGGAAGCCAACCCCATCGTCGTCGCGCCGAAGCTGCCGCGCATATGAGACGCGTCGCCGGAGGCAATGGCGGACGCGCGTTGTTACATTAACAACGTCGTTCGCGCCGATCATCTGCCCGCCTCCCTATTGCTGTCCCCACGCGCGGGGCCTCGAATCGTTGGCTCTGTGTGTGTGTGTGTCTGTGGAGAGGATGGGCTAAGCTCTTCCATTAAAGCCAACCTCTCTGTTTTTGGTTTGCCATGGCCCCAACCGCCGTTAGCTGAGAGGACGGCATTGCCGGTTTGAAGTCGCCTGTGTGTCATCCACTCGCCTATGTTTGTCACCTTCCCATGTTTGTCATCCTCATCACCCTCCCATCTTTGTCACCCTCGTCACACGCCTGCCCATCTTTGTCACCCTAGTCACCCGCCTGCCCATCTTTGTCACCCGCCTGCCTATCTTTGTCACCCTCGTCACACGACCCACCCGTCCTTCTAACCCTTGTCACCTTCCTGACAATCTTTATCACACTCGTCTCCCGCCCCCATCCATCTTTGTCACCCTCGTCACTTGCCCACCTATCTTTGTGTCACAGTCGTTACTCGGCCATCCATTGTTCTAGCCC